GGGCTCCCGCCCCCAGCCCGCAGCCCTCAGGAGCCCGCCTGCCAAGCGCAGCCGCGTCGGCTCTCCCAGGAAACCTCGCCAAGTGGACCGTCGTGGCTCCCCCGACCTCTGCCACCTCCCTGCTTCCAACCCGCAGCGCCTCCCGCTCCCGGACTGTCCTTTTGGAGGAGAAGCCCAGCCAGGGGAGGCCGCAGACGCGGGACCCGCCCAACCGGGGAGGCGGAGCAAACGAGACCAGACAAGCTCACCAGCGGGCGAGCCTCCGAGTGACCTCACCTGCCGCACCCGGGCTCCGAGGCCTGCTTGTGCCCTGGGCGGCGGGAGGAGGACTCCTCTGGGGGCAGAGACCGCTGCGCTGGCGTGGGACGGGGACCCCCGCTCCCGGTTATCGTGGCCGCCGCCGCCATCTATCCACTTAGGATTTTTTTAAGCCCCTAGTACAACTGTATTTTCCATGCGTTCATTCCGGGACATCCAGTCGTTCTGGATCTATAGCAAACGCAAGATGTTACTTCTTCTGTGATCAAAAGGTAGGCAGAGGGGAGGGGGCGGGGAGGCAGGTGGGCAGAGGAGACCTGAGCATCAGGGAAAGAAGGTCAGAGAGCCTGGCTTGCCTGTGGACACATCCGCTCTCTGCCTGTGGGCAGGTGACCTGGCAGGGCTGTGTTTCCCCATCTGAGACTGCCCCCATCCTGTTGGGATGCCCCGAGTTCCCCCCGGGCCCCAAATGCAGGGGTTAGGGGCTCAGCGCTCCCACTGGGTCTTTTTCCCCTACTTCCACAACTTGCTGTAGGGTGGGGGTCCCGGAGTATGTTCCCCCGGGTGGCTGTCACGGGCTGTGAAACCCTAAGGATTTTCTCCAGCCAGGGATGAAGGTGCAGGGGGCCCCCCCTCTCCCAGTCCTACGTGCCCTGTCCCATTTTACAGTTGGGTCTACTGAGGCCCAGGGGAGGGCAAACCCAGTCTCACATAGGGATTAGAAGGCCTGGTGGGACCACCTATCCAGAGACCCCACTCACTCAGCCTGTCCCACCATGAGCATTAATTGAGCGCCCACTGTATGCCCAGACTCAGAACAAACCGAGGCTCAACCAAGGACTCAGAGTGAAACCAGCAAAAACGCAGAGACCTGGCCCCTTCGCCTGAAAGGGGGAGGGTGTGTGACCTCCCTTCTCCAATGGGGGGAGCCAGCAGTGCCCCCCACTACCAGGCTTCACAAATGTCAATAAAATGGAAATGAAGTAAGTGAAGCATTCTGTTCCCCACCTGCACTGGCCACATTTCACCTGCTCACTAGCCGCGTGTGGCTGGCAGCTGACAGATGAGCATGTTCACTGAAGATGGTTCGACCCGTCCAGTCTGATGCCTTCTATTTCCACGTGCGAACGGGGCGGGCAAGGGGTCTTGCCCCTGGAAAGCATGCACTATTTTGCTTTGAGATCAGAGGGGTGTTGGCAGGAGGCACTGCACACACACACATGGACATGGAAACAAGACAAAGTGGTGATGTCCTCATGAGCAAAACCTGGAACCCCCCTGTGACATTGTAACTGACTTTTGCAAAATGTTACCACTGGGGAAAATGTTACTTCTTATAACTGTTGTGAATCTACAGTCATCCTAGTAAAAATTCTAAGCACAAAATATCTTGATGACCAAGTTCTGGGGCTCCCCGTTCAATTTCACACCCAGAGGAGGACCCAGCTCACCTCTCCTTGGTCCCCGCCCAGATGTGGAGTGGTGGTGGGCTGGTTTTCGCCATCAGGTGCCTGCATCGGGCCCCCAGTGAAGGGATAAGCCATCCAGGAGACGTGGACCATGGTGGACAATGGAAGATCAGAGGCTGGACAGGGGTGATTCACGGAGCTGATGATCTTGGGTGGGGAGGGACCAGGGCTCCACCCTACAGCCTCTGTGTGGCCCCTGCACCTGCGGGGTGGGTGCCCCTTTGAATGTGCAGATAAAATGCTGGCAAGAGGGTGGCGTCCCTGTTTGTGAATCTGTGCTGGGGACTTGCTAACCAGACGCTCTCCCCAGTCAAGGGTGCAGCCAAGGATGCAGTGCTGGGCAAGACCCCTCTTGCTGGTGTCTGAGCCTTCTGCTGCCTCCTGGAGGATCACAAAAGGGAAAACAAGGCAGGGGAAAGCTGGAGCTGGCACTGGCAGATGTGACAGAAACCCCATAGCATCTCCCCAAAGCTGCCTACAAACCCCAAAACCCACAGGCCAGGGAGCACAATGCCTGTTTGACAGAGGGGACGAATGCCACCAAGTGCAGGGACTGGATGGGGTACAGGATGAAGCCAGGGCTGCAGGTTCCAGTTGCCCGTCCGAATCCCAGAGGCAAGCAGGTCCGGTAGGGCAGATTTCCATCCTCACACAGGTTCCTGCCCCAAGAATCCAGCCCTCCTTCCCCTGCTCCCTCCTCAGCTCACCGGATCTGGGCTTCAACGAATGAGGTAAGTCCTTCCTCACGTCTGACTGGATTTCATCATGCTTCACTTTAAACCAGTTTCTCCTCCTTGTAGGTGAGTCCAAGACCATGACAGGCTGCGGCTTCCTGAGACGGGACAATGAAGGAGGGTGTGAGATGGGGCCCATGGGGAGGCCTTGGTATGTGACTAGTGACAATGGCAGCCCTAAGGTCTGGGGAGGAGACACCAGTGCTGGGGATAAATCACCCCTCCACACATTTATTGAGCACTTTCTGTGTACCAGACCCAACACAGACTCGGTCCGGGCATCTTTTTCAGTCTTGCTGAGGTGAAATTCACAGAACATGAAACTCACCCACTTAAAACGAACACGTCAGCATTTAGTCCATTCGCAGAGCTATGTAACCATCACTTCTTTTTCCAGAACATTCCATTGCCCCAAAAAGAAACCCGGGACCCAGCAGCAGTCACCCCCACCTCCTCCCCAGCCCCTGACAAACACAAATCCACTGTTTCTGTGGATTTGTCTGTTCTGGACGTTTCACATAAATGGGATCACACACCATGTGGCCTTCTGTGTCTGACTTATTTCTCTATTTTTTGAATAAAATTTAAACAGTTTTAGGTTTACAAAAACATTTCAGAGATAATACAGAGTTTCCATCTAGTGGCCCTGGTTTCCCCTACTCTTAGCAACGCAGATTAGTGTGTTTGTGGCCGTTTTATGGGGGGGCGATGGGGGCAGCTCCCCGAATCACAGATGTGATTTGTTGTGATCCCAGGGTGACAGATCCAGTTTACCGAGGCGCAGACGGGCAGCCACAGTGGCCAGCCTGGGAAAGGCTCCCAGCCCCTCCAGTTCTGGGATCTTCCTGCCACTCCTGCGGGAGACGTGGAAGGGGTGGGATCGGCCAAGAGGAAACCGCAGACATCAAACGTCCAGCAGCAGCGTCGAGAACAGGCTGTGCCTGGAGGCTGGGACTTGGCAGGTGGCAGGGAGCAGGCAGAGGTCAGTGGCGCAGCCTAGCAGGGCTGGGCAGGGCTCAGTGCCACCTGGAAGGACAGTGGCTTGGCACACCCATCCTATTCCCCCTACATGTGCCAGGCTGCGTGAGGGACAGGAGACGGGGCCTCTGGGGGGACCTGGAGGGGGCCGAGACCCTGGCCAGGGCTGGGTAGCTGGTGAGGAGGGCTCTCAGGGCCAGGTGAACAAAGAGGGGCAGGACCAGGCTCCAGTGTCCCTGAAGGTTTTTCTTGAAGGGCCGGGGAGTGGGGAGGGTGTGCCACGTGCGAGCCTGGTTCCTAGGCAGGAGAGGGGATCCTAGAGCCCACATCTTGCTAGGAGGCCTTTCTGACAGCCTGGAGAGCCCTCCTGCATTCACCCCCTGCAACGTGCAGGCTGTCCCCAAGGGCTAGCAGGGATTTCCCAACTGCCCAGCATCTGTCTGTTCTGTGACCTCCCCGCCACCACCCTCACCAGGCCCATCATCCCTCACTAGGCTGGTTGTAAGGGTGACAATGTCTCACTGGGTCCTTTGGGCCCCATGCCCACATCCACGCATCCGATGGGGTCTGTGCCCGGCTTACACTCCTTCTGTGGGTGTCCACCCAGGAGTAATGAAACCAAGTCCACACAAATCTACACAGATGTTCACAGCAGCACAACTCACAACCCTCCAAAGGGGGAACCTCAGTGTCCACCGCTGGGTGATGGATAAACACAATATTGTCCATACAATGGAGTATTACTCAGCCACGAAGAGGAGTGAGGCACTGGCACACGCTGCAACGCCGACGGACCTTGAGGACATGATGCTCAGTGAGAGAAGCCACACAGGTAAGGCTCTGAGGCTGACCCTGGACTGGACTGCTCCCTATCCCCGGCCCTGCAGAGGTGATGTCATCTGCTTCTTTCTTGCCCTTCTCACTGTGCTTCTTGTCTCCTCACCTGGCTTCCCTCGGATACCTGCTTGTTAGATGATGAATCAGTCTGGAAGAGACTGGGATTCCTTCCCGGGCTGCTGTCCTTAACCACTGGGCTTCATTTCCCCCTCTTTGGCTTCCACCTCCAGGAAGCCCTCCCTGATCCACTCTCCCTCCCCCTTCCCCCAACAAGGGGCAGGTTTGAACTACTGGGTTTCATGCAATTACATTGTGTTGTCCAAAGGTGCCCCTCCCCTACCAAAAGCTGGTCTCCTGCCTCCCCTTGGATCTGGGACAGCTGGATGCTTGACCCTGTCTAACCCTGGCCATCGGGAGGTGACGCAGGAAGGCTTCCGAGGCCAGGACGCTCAGATCTATCCACCACGTTGTGAGGCAGCCCAAGCCACACAGAAGACCACATGAGGGCACCTGGCCCTGGGTCCGGCTGAGCCAGCCCTGGCGCCTGCCCAGCCCACACCTGTGGGAGATGAGCCTTCCCAGCTGAGGACCCAGGTGTCTTGGAGCAAAGCCCACCCATGCCCTCTCTGAATTCCTGACTCACAGCATCAATGGGATGACAGAATGATTTGGAGCCACTAGGTTTGGGGCGAGGCAGCTGCCCAGCAGGACGCCGGCACAAAAACAAGTTTTTATGACTTTTATTAAATCCTTACAAAACAGAATACAAAATTCCGGCATTGACAGTTGGTGTAAAGAAAAACTTTTGAGCTGTATCAGTTCACCTGGTACAGTGGAGTTAAAGTGCTTGGATGTTTTTCCCCCACTTTAAAAAAATTTAAGTTTTTTTTGTTTTTTTCACACGTTAACATTGAAACACTGCTGTTCCCCCCTTCCCCCAGCGCCAGAGCAGCCTGGGACCCAGGCCACTCATTCACAGTAACGGTTCTGACCAGTCCTCCAGCTGCACTGTCCATGTGACAGGGGGAGGAAGTGGCTGTCCCACCTTTGAAAAAAAAAAGCTGCTCACAGCTCAGCATTCCCCAGTAAAATGGCCACGGCGCCTGAAGTGGGCGAGAGTCCATTTGTTTTTTATAAAAAGGCAGAATCCCCAGTTGCAAAATGTGGAATCACCGATGGGCGAGAAGTGATGGGGTGGGCGGCCTCTCCACCCCCGGAGTCTTTGGAAAGGCCAGTCCACAGATCCGGGCGGACGGGGCGGGGAGGAGGCGGCGGCCCCCCACCAACCACCACGGACTGCAATGAGACTTGGGGGGCCCCAGAGACGGCGTCCGAGACCCCCACGCCTCAGGAACCTCCCCCCCACATTCAAGTATTCTTCGAAAACAGGGAAAGGATGTCAACTGATGTTTTAGAAAACTAACGAAACAGGACAACCAACCAGAAGCCAGAGGGCTGTCCGGGCGGCTGCCCGCGAGGCCGGCCCAGACCCCGGCACGCCCCGGCGGCAGAAGCAAGTGTGCACGTAGAAAACGAAGCCTGTATTGCATAGTGTCTCCCGCCCGAGGCCGAAGGGCGCCAGAGCCTCCCCGAGCACGGCGGTTCACGCGGCGTCCGACTGCGGCGCGGGCGGGCGGAAGGGGCGGTTTTCCTGAAGGTGGGCGGGGCAGGAGCGCCGCCCGACGGGGGGGATTCCGCGAGACCCGGGGTGGGGGGCTGACAGAGCTTCCGCGCCAGACCCGAGGAGCGACGGGGCAGGACGTGGCCGTGGTCAGACTGAGCCCTGAGAAGGGGCACTCGGGTGCCCGGGCGGGGGTCCACGGGACCCCCGCGTTGGCCGACGGGCGCCCGCCCAGCCCCCCCCACTTCTGGAGCCACCCTCCCAGGCGGGCGGTCCTGGGGGAGAGGCCGGGGGAGGGGCCGTCAGCTGCAGCTTAAGGTCAAGGTTCGAGGGAGCCCCCAGTGGCCGTCGGCAGGGCGTCCAGTGGGCCATCCTGCCCATCCTGCCGCCCGCACCCAGGCTCCACTCCCGCGACAGGGGGAGACCTGAGAAGCCCCCGCCCTGCCACCAGGGTGTCGGTGGGGGAAGGAAGGAGCGACCGTCTCATCAAGGGGAGGTGGGGGTCAACCTGTCCCTGAAAACACTGTGCGGGCTGGGGAGGGGGCGGGCGGTCCGGCCCGGCCCTGGCCCCGGAAGACGGCTACGCACTCCTCCCCTGAGGCCCGCGGGCGGCGCGGAGGGGCCTTCACAGTACCCGGCAGGCCGGCCCGGGGGCGGCGGCGGCGGGAGGGCGCCCACCCAGCCGCACGCCGCTCCGCTCTCCTCCCCGGGCGCCGGCTTTGCTTTTAACACCATTAAAAGAAAAAAAGGAGGGTACGGCGGGAAACAGAAGAAAAAAAAAAAAGAAAGAAAAACCCAACAGCAAAAACCTTATATAAAAAGATCCCCCCCAGCTGAGCTTATTAGCGCCTCGGAATCCAGCCTGGGGGAGGGCAGCCCGCTGGTCACCCGCGGGCAATAGCTTAAAAAAACCTTTAGATTTGACGGGGGGAGGGGCGGCCTATGTACAGAGGGAAGGAGGGCGTCACGCGTGATCTCCCACCAGGACCACGGGGGCTCCGGACAGGCTGGCTCGCTGCCGCCGCTGGGCCAATTTGGACTGGGAGGGCGGGGACAGCTGCAGGCAGCGTGAGGTAGCTCGGATGACCACGGGCTGGTCCTGCCCCACCTCCTCGGCCGCGTCCTCCTCGCGCTGGGCCAGCTGCCGGTTCATGGCAATGGCCTCCGCCGCGAATGAAGTGAGGTCTTTGGCACAGCTGTTCCTGGGGGGGGGGGTGTCACCAGGGAGAGGAAGGTAGCCGCTAGCAAGTCCGCCTGATTCCCTAGGGACCCCCCGGGGTCTGTGCAGTGCCCTGGAGGAGGGACTGCAGACCCCAGGAGCCCCTAGCCTGGGTAGGGGGGGCCTAGAACCTCCACTGGGGTCCCAAACATGTCAGCCGGTACAAGGACACCCAGGCACTGGACGGTTCCCCCCAACAACTTAAAAAAAGTTTTTTTTTTAATCTTTTTCAAGCATCTTAAATTAACGTTTAGCACCCTCTCCTGAACTCGGGGGCTCCCCCTCTGAGCCGGAGATCCCATTAGGGGCCTCACCTTTGCAGGACCATGGGCGTGGGCAGGGTGTTCTCCGGGGCGCACTGCAAATAGACAGGAGAGGGGAGGCTTTAAGCAGAGGCCGGCCGCTCTCTGAGCGCCAGGCTGGCGGTGAGACCACCAAGAGTTAAGGCGGTTCACCTGCCGGGAACTGAGCCAGGCTGGGGGAGGGGGGCGTTGCGGGAGCCAAGTATGCGTGATGGGCGGGGCGTGGGTCTCACTAAAGCCGCCCCCTCCACCTGCCCATCTGCCTTGAGCGTGGGGCCCTAGGCTTTGCTCCCCACAGGGTCCCCAGTGCCAACTTATATTTTTGGTTAAGCCCCCTGTTCCGGTGGCCCCCCCTACCTGGGGTGGCAGCCGGGCTGGGACTCGACCCCTGAGCAGAAAAAACATCAAACTCTTCTGGGATAGGTGGGGACAGAGCTCTGGACTTGGTTGGCCAGCCGCGGGTCTACCCTGGCTTGTACCCTCCTGCCCCCTGCCGACCACAGCCTGACGGTCTGGGTGAGGCTCCAGCACCTCCAGGACACAGAGCCTGGCACCTCACTGAGCAGTAGCCCCCTGCAGTCCTGATCCAACCCGGCCCCTCTGGGGCGGGGGGGTCTCAAAGCTGGGCCTCCAAAGGTTCTCATACCTTCTTTGGCCCCTCAGCAGAGGCTGGATGGAGGCCAGTGGCCTCCCACATCCTCCCTGGGGCTCCCACTCACCCCCTGCACCCAGGGGTGCTGCAGGACTTGGGCAGCGCTCAGTCTCTGCTTGGCGTCACGGACAAGGAGCTTCGAGATGAGGTCTTTGGCAGCGAAGGAGATGTGGGCCCAGTCCTTCTCAGGAAATTCGTACTTGCCCTCCTGGATGCTCTCAAATAGCATGTTCTAGAGAGGACGCAGGACGGGGAGGTCAGCCGCAGCCAGCAAGAGTCAGGGCCAAATCCCTAGCCTGGATGGGCAAGACTGATCCGGGGGAACACTGCTGAGTGACATGTTTCCACAGGGCCCCAGGCTCCACCATGCCCCACATGACCTGGGCCCAGGGGAAAGGGGCCTGGGCTGGCCCCCCCCCAGACAGCAGGGTGGATGGAGGGCTGGTAAGTGCCCTGAGACCAGCCGGCAAGGCCGGCGACTCGGGGGAACAAGGAAGGCAAGGGCCCAGCATTCTGGGGGTGGCTGGGGGGCTGGGCGAGAGAGTGGCCTCTGGAGGAACTTTGTGGACTCTGTCCAAATGGGGCCCAATTTACATAAAGGCAGCTCTGAGGGGCAGGTTCTGGGGGCCTGACCATGAATCCTGAGCCTTGCGTGGTGGGTAAAAGGCTGGAACCTGGCCACCCCAAACCATAAGCCTTGTCCCACCTCAACTCCAGGGACCCTTACTGCTTTCTCCTGTGCAGGGGGAACCCAGGAAGGTCAGAGGGCACTTCCCTGTGGACGGAATCAGTGGTTGGAGACCAAGAGGTGCTCAGGGAGGCATACAGGGCAGGCCCTGGGAGTGGATGTGGGCGGTGTGTGTGCACAGGCCAGGCCTTGGGGGCCACAGGGGATGTGTGGTCCAGCTCCCGGGGTGGGTATGTGTGCACATGCCGAGGCAGGCCTGGAGATGGGGTTGCACGGGGCAGGCCGGGCAGGGTGCTCAAGGGAGGCACGCAGGCAGGCCCCACGCGCACCTGGCATGCTGGGCAGGCCTCGCCGCGGTCCCAGCCGCAGTCGCTGCCGCAGTGGCCCACGAAGGGCGGGTAGCCGCTGAGCAGGATGTAGAGGATGACGCCCAGGCTCCAGAGGTCGCAGCGCTTATCGTAGATGCTAGCCTCCTCGCTGAAGGCCTCCACCACCTCGGGGGCCATGTACTCGGCGGAGCCGCACTGCGGGCGGGGGCGGGGCGGGGCGTCAGGGGCCGCGGAGGGGGAGGGGCCGCCCCGACGGGGACTTCCCGGAGCCAGGAGCCAGACAGCCCTGCCCGACCAATCAGAGGCTGCTGAGGGAACCAGCCCCGCCCCTGCATTGCTAGCCAATCAGAGGCTGCTCAGGGAGTCGACCCCGCCCACCCCGCCTCCGCCCAATCAACAGGTACTGAAAGCCCTCTCTACCCCACCATGCCTGACCGCGGTCCCGCCTAGCACGCCCGCCTGGCCAATCAGCGGCTGTTGCTAAGCGGAAGCCTGAGCCCCGCCACCTCGAGGTTACGCAACCGCAGCATGGGACCGGATCTGGGGCCATTCCGGACCTCTCCGCCCCTGCCAACCTCCCTGCATCCCACTCGGGGCGCCCTGACCCCGCGGACCCTCACCGGGGTGAGCAGCTCGGGAGTGGAAATGGGGGAGCAGTCCCCGTTGAGTTTGATGCCACTGCCCAGATCAAAGTCGCAGATCTTCACAGGGGAGACCTGGGTGGGTTGGAGGGGGCTGTGAAGGTGGGGTCCAGGCCCTGGGGGCCCTGGTCCACAGGGAAGGGCGCCCTCGCGCCCCTCACCTGGTTGGGATGCTCACAGAGGATGTTTTCCGGCTTGAGGTCCCTGTGGGCGATGCCTGTAGGGAGAACCAGGAAACATGGGAGCAGGTCAAGGGTGGGTGAACACATCTTCCAGGAGTCCTGGGCAGGTGGACTGGATACAAGGCTGGACATCCAGGGACCCCTCAGGCAGGTGGCCCCCTGAGCAGCCACCTGCCACCCACCTTTGTTGTGCAGGAAGTCCAGAGCGCTAGCCACGTCCTGCACTACCACGCTGGCCTCCAGCTCGTTAAAGTGCCGCCGCTTGTGGATGTGGCTCAGGATGGAGCCTGGGGCCAGGCCATGCAGCAGGGAGAACACACAGGGGTCACCCCCACTGCCCAATGCCCAGCACCCACCCCACACTGGCAGGGACGACCCCCTCCATCCTCCTTGGGCCCAAAGTCCTCCAACCTAAGTTGGCATGTCGACAGAAAGTTCCAACCAGCCAAGACCCCTCTGATGTGCAGGCCCCCCCCCCAGAAAGGTTCCTCCTGGTGGCCCTGAGCCCCCAGGCACATGCAGATCCAGCTGGAAATCCAGGCACCACATACCACCCCGCATCTTCTCAAACACCAGGTAGAAGCGGTCCTCCTCCTCAAAGAACTCAATCAGCTCTAGGACGTTCCTGGGTGGCGGGTGGAGAGGCAGGAGAGGAGGTCTCCTCAGGCCTGGGTGCACCCGCAGCCCAGCCCCGAAGGGGCCTGCCTGCTCCACCCCCCCGACCACGGGCACACAGTGGGTGCCTGCTGGGGGTGAGGAGGCTTTCAGCCCGTTCATCCACTGAAAGATGGCTCGGGGCCCAGTGCTGTGGTAAGGGTGGATCACATTACCTGTGTCCCTGGCATTGATACAACATCTCCACCTCCCGGAAAACCCTACTCCGAATATGGCCCGGCTGCTTCTCAATGATCTGAAATGATGTGGGGGGAGGGGAGATGCCAACTGGGTCAGCCAGACCCTGCACAGCCCGAGGGGCCCAGGCCAGAAACTTCCCCTGTCAGAGCTTAGACCTTTAAGCTCTGGAAAGCAGAGCTCTCATATGGGGGCCCAGAATTTACCGGAAGTCAAAATGGCGGTGTCAGCACAAACGGGGCAACATGTTTCCCCAGAGCTGTCAGAGGAGGGGTGAGCAGAACAGGAAAGGCAGAGAGGAGGAGCTGGGCGCCTCTCTGCCCAGCCCCAATGGCCCTGGGGCATATTTGGAGCCTCGGGCCCCTGCAAAAATATCCCTCCAGAGCAGCAGGGCCCTTAGACTGGGTGGCTTCCCCTCCCTGACCACTGTGCCAGCTCACACATCACCCAGTGGACTGGAAGGGCCTGGGGGTGCCTGGCTACCAGCCCAGCCATCCCACTTTCCTGAGCCCCAAGTCTCATCTTCCCAGTTTCACACTAGAGCTGATGCTCCCGGTCCCATGAGCCAAAGTCTGGCCCCTTAGTGGGCACAGCCTCCCAGGACCCCAGAGCTTCAGGAAGCCAGCCAGCACTTCTGCCCCCACCCACTCTGACACCCAGGTGCTCTAAGGCGGAGGGTCTGGGCCCATCCCCTAGGGGCTCCCCTAGATACCTGTCTCACAGAGCAGTGGGGTCAGAGGGGGCCTGCCAGTTCTCCCCCAGCAACTGCTGGGGGCCTCCTCCTGGGCTGGGCCTTGGGCCTCTCTCACAGTGGTGGCAGGCGGCTGGCGGTCAGGCTGGGTCACACAGTGCCCGGGGCTCCCTACCCGCCAGCAGCCCGGGGGAGGGATGTTCCACTGGCCAGGCTCCAGCAGCAGGTGGCCACGCATGTCCACTGCCACCAGGGCTAGGCCACCACCCTAAGCACTGTCCCACCTGTCTACCTGCCCACAGAGGAGCAAAACCACCAGGCTGCAGCCAGGGCTCCTTGAGATAATGCCACCAGCCTCGCCCTTCTGGAGTAAACTGACCCTCATCCGTCCTGTGGGGATGTGGCTAGGGCCCCCACCTCAGAGGAGACTGTGGTCCTCTTGAGGGGGACAGCCTTTGGGGAAGGCACACACAGTACAACTGACCCGAGCCCTCTGAGCCCGGTTTCCCCGCCTGTCAGAGGAACAGAAGCCAGAAGCCCAGCAAGACTCTCAGGAGGGACACTGACGGTGCAGAAAGTGCTGGATGCCAGGTGGCCAGTTCTCCAATGCCATCACCCACCCGGTCTGGGCGCTCCTAGTGGGTGGGGACCACAGCCGCCCTGGTCACTGTACTTCCACCTGGGCCTGAGGCTCCCAGCCAGCCCTGTTTGCCAGGGAGCACCTGGCCTGCCTTCCTGGGCAGCCAGCCACCTGTGACCGCGCCCAGCCCAGAGGCAGGGTCACGAGGTAAGCTGGAAGGCTTCTCGGAACGCAGGGTCTGGCCACCCAGCCAGGGCACGCAGGCCATGTGGCCACAGCCCAGGTCAGAGGCGGCATGGGGCGCACGGGGGTTGTTGCAGGCCCGCCCTGTCCTCCCCTGATGCTGAGCTCCCCTGGGCCCCCAGCACGGCACTGCCTCTCCACCTCTGTGACCGACATGGGGTGGCATTTGTCATCCCAGGGGACAGGCCTGGCCTGACCGACCCAGCAGGTGAGCGTCGGCCCTGACTGAAGCTCCCAGTTCTCGGCGGCCCCCCTGGCACCAGGTCCTTGGCTACTCAAGCGGGGAGCCACCCCTTGTGGTCACTTCCCACCCAGCCTCAGGGCCTCAGCCCAGGCAGACCTGAATTCCCAGGGGTGGCCTGAGTCACTGGCCTTGGGGCCATTTTTAGACACCAGTTTTCCCCGGCGGCCGGTCCGGCAGCCCAGATGCCAGCTCCCCTCCTCCTGTCACCCCTGGCCAGGCCTGACCCCAGGTGCTGCTGAGCGGAGGCCAGGGACGCTGCCCCGGTGCCAGGGCTGGGCTCACCTTGACGGCGTACTCCTGGTTGGTGATCAGGTTGACACAGGTCTGCACGCGCGCGTGGGCGCCCTCCCCCAGCACGTCCTCCTGCAGCTGGTAGACGTCTGCAGAGCAGGGGCGGTCAGGGCTGCCCAGGCCACCTCGCCTCCCACCATCCCCGCTCCACCGAATCCACTCTCACCTTCGAACCTGCCTGAAAAGCTATCGGTGGCCCGGCACCTCTTCTTCTTTTTGCCTCTCTTCTTGGCATCGGGGATGTCGATGGGCTGACTCGCGGGCATGTCTGCCAGGAGACCCAGAGGTGAGCCCAGCCAGCTCAGGGGGTGGCCCCTGCACCCCCAACCCCACCCCAGAGGCATGCCCCTCCCTCCCAGCCCCTCACCAGGGCGGGTTGGGCACTCCAGGCTGAAGTCAGTCTCCCCGTGATGAGCCTGGTCTAGGGAGAAGGCCAGCTCAAAAGGATTCTGCCCCTGCAGGAGAGGAGAGAGCTCAGGCCCCAGCCCCCACTGCACACCCCACCACCGTCCACACACTAGTGGGCAGAAAGCCTGGCTCTGCCTAACCACAAGGAAATGGACCTTTTGCCCCCAGCCCAGGGCCCCTGGGGCCTCTGGCGAGGGGGCGCTGTCTCCCAGGCCAGGACTGAGTCACCATAGGGCGCAAGCCACGCCTTAAGCCTCAGTCTGCACACCTGTAGGATGGGGCCAGCAACAGTGCCCAGCCGACCTCCTGTGCCAGCGAGGGGATCAAAGGCTGTTGGATAGCCAGTGGGAGGGAGTGCGTCATCAGCTCCCCTGGGGCAGAGCTCCCAGCAGGGCGGCCCTGCCTGCTTTCCCATGGCCTCCTGGCCTGTTTCCCCTCTGTGAAGTGGGGCAACAGGGCCCCCCATGCCTCATGCTGCCCTCTCCTCCCCACTGAGCTTCCTGCCCCGATGCTTCTCCCCACCACACCTCTGCCCCTGAAGGTGTATGCGCGCGCCCCGTCCCCCCAGCTCTGTGTGTCGCCTCAACCCTCACTTGTCTGCTTCCAGGTCCCCACAGCCAAGACCCAACTGCGGGGGCTCACAGGAAAGGCACCCACGGGCTCCAATGTGAGCACCGGGCTGTTCCCTGCCCAGCCCTGCCCCGGCCACCCCCGCCCTGGCCACCCCTAGACACCCCAGGGGGCAGCCCCTCACAGGCCCCGATACCCAGCTAAGAAAGCAGCCTTGTTGGGGAAGATGCTGCTTAAGGTCTCCCCACCCAGCCACGGCCAGGGTAAGTAGGGGCAGGCGCAGGACCCTATCCTGGGAACAGAGGGAGCCAGGGCTCCTCCAGACAGATGTCGGGGGGGATAAATATATCTCTGCAGGCTGGACCCAAGTAGAAGACTGGAAACCCCCGACATGAGGGTGAGGTTTTAAGGCTGGGACACTGAGGCCCCACCAGCTTCTTCTAGGAGTTAACCCTAATTTAGATCCTCCATCCAGGTGGACCAGGTGGCCAGGGGCTCAGGTGGGCGTGGGGGGCCTGCACACAGAACAGTGGTGCCAGCACTGATGCAAGATGACCTGGACCAAGTCACTGGGCCTTGGGACAGCTGGAGCCACGGCTCTGGCAGGAGGTCAACCCAATAGAGAAGGAACTCAAGGAGAGCCCAAGGGAGACCCCTGAGGGGCCCACTGGCAGAAGAGACTGGGCCAGATTCCTGCAGACAGGAGGCCCAGAAGCCAGTCTGGCAGCAGAGGGGCAGGCAGAGGTCAGAGGGAGCGGCTGAAAAACAGGCGTGGGCCCTCGTGGCCTCCCCACCCACCCTGCAGATAGTTGCTAGGAGGCATGGCGGGTGGGGTAGGGAGGAAGGAGGTGCCCCAGCCAGCCTGTGGCCTCGGCCACCATGCCCTGCGCCCGCCTGCCGAGGGTCTGGCCCCCACACAGAATCAGGCACACAGCTGTGCCAGCACCAGCAACCAGCGCTCCGATAAAGCTCAGTCCAGGGGTGTCTGGAGGCGCCAGGTGACTACCTGCTCCTGGGAGGAGGGGCCCCAGGGAGGCAATGTAGGGGTGACTAGGAGGGAGAGTGAATGTGAGGCTTGGGGTTAGCACCAGCAATGGTGGTACCAGCTACACTACCTTGGCCCAGTGGCCTCAGCCGCGGGCCTGACCAGCATTCGAGGAGGGATGTGGGAGGAAGCTGCCCCAGTTTGTGAGACCACGTAAGGGTGCCAGAACCCCACAGCCTTGTCCCAGCCTCCAACTCAGAGAGCTGGACCTGGAGAGAAGAGGCAGCCAAGCTACCAAGGTGAAGGGACACTAGGCACAGCCAGCTCCTGTGTCCTTGTCACCATGTGCATGAGGACCTAAAACAAGTGCCCACTCTTTTCAAGCTTCTACTTTCCTATCTTCACAAGGGGAAGATACAGCGGAGACACCTGGCAGACACATCTCCCTCTGCACTGCAGCCAGGCTGAGCGGAGGGAGGGGCCCCAGGCCACGGGAACCCCCAACTGCGGTGGGAGGAGACTCCTGGAGTGGCTGGCCCCTAGCCTAAGAGCCAGGACTCCCCATCCACTGTCCCTCCTGCCTCCCTCGGGACTCCC